CCCAAAGCTGCTCGTGGAACAGAGTGATATGCATTCTTTATTGTGGTGTAACAGTGATCCAATATATTACTGTCTCTGGTGGGACATGTGATGTGCTGTCTGTATTTTGGCAGTTCACGGGAGAGATTTGCTTTATTAAAGTCCCCGAGAATGATTAAAACCGAGTCCGGGTGTTGTTGTTCTGTGTCTGTGATCAGATCAGCGAGTTTCTGTAAAGCGGAGCTCACGTGTGCTTGCGGAGGAATGTAGACACTGACGAGAATGAACGAGCAAAACTCCCGCGGCGAGTAGAACAGCTTGCAATTAATGAAGAGCACTTCTAGATCTGAACTTCTTTAACTCTTTAACACAGTTACATCTGTACACCACCTCTCATTGATGTAAAAGCATGTCCCGCCACCGCGTGATTTATTCTGCGTCATCTGCTCTGAACAGCTGAATGCCCGGGAGACTCAACGCGCTGTCCGGTATGGCGTCTTTCAGCCAGGTTTCCGTGAAACACAGAGCAGCAGAGTTAGAAAAATCCTTATTTGTCCGGGAGAGCAGAATGAGTTCGTCTGTTTTGTTGGGTAAAGAGCGGAGGTTCGCCAGATGGATGCTAGGCAACGGCGTCCTGAATCCGCGCTGTCTGAGCTTCACGAGCGCGCCGACTCGCTTCCCCCGTCTGCGCGTCCTGAAGCGTTTGATCAGCGCCACAGCTCCCCCGACAACAATGTCCAGCAAAACATCAGAATAGTCGAAAACCGGTGAAATATCGGGTGGTGTGTACTTCCGAATGTCCAGCAATTCGTCTCTGGTGAAACTGATTGCAGGGATATAACTAAAGACAGGACAAACTAACAAAAACATAAAAACAACTGCAGAGCACGCCACGGAGGCAGCCATCAGCGTCGGCGCCATTAGAATCGCAATTAGAATTATGAGAGTTTAGGAGGGTTTGACACCATAACTTCTTGAATTCCCCAAAAGGGGGTGTGTTTGCAGTAGCCTACACATAAAAACAGTACACATTTTTTCATACAAGTACAGGTTTTAAAAGGATTTTTCAGTAAAAAGTTAGATTACAAGTTATTTAAAGTGCGTTTTTTCGAATAGCCGCTAACGAATTTAAAATGATAGTTCACCCAAAAATGCAAATGTGATGTTTATCTGCTTACCCCCAGGGCATCCAAGATGTAGGTGACTTTGTTTCTTCAGTAGAACACAAATTATGATTTTTAAGTCCAGCCGTTGCAGTCTGTCAGTCGTATAATGCATGGCAATGGTAACAAAATCTATGAGAGTAAAAAAAAACAAAAAATTCTGAGGAAACAAATAATAATATTTAAGATTAATATCACTATTTAGTAATACGATTATTTTTTCAACAGTCAAACATGGTGGTGGTAGTGTGATGGTCTGGGGCTGCTTTGCAGCTTCAGGACCTGGACGACTCGCCATAATTGATGGAACCATGAATTCTGCTCTCTATCAGAAAATCCTGAAGGAGAATGTTCAGCCATCAGCGCACTTGGGTTATGTAACACACCAGCAAGTCCACCTCTGAATGGCTCAAGAAAAACTAAATTAAGGTTTTGGAGTGGCCAAATCAAAGTCCGGACTTAAATCCGATTGAGATGCTTAAACAGTCCATTCATGCTCGAAAACCCTCCAATGTGGCTGAATTAAAACAATTCTGCAAAGAAGAGTGGGCCAAAATTCCTCCACAGCGATGTGAAAGACTCATTGCCAGTTATCGCAAACACTTGATTGCAGTTGTTGCTGCAAAGCGTGGCACAACCAGTTATTAGATTTAGGGGGCAATTACTTTTTCACGTAGGGCCAGGCAGGTTTGGACAGCTTTTTTCCCTTAATAAAATAAATCATCATTTAAAAACTGCATTTTGTATTTACTTGCATTATCTTTATGTAATGTAAAAAATTGTTTGATGATCTGAATCTTTTAAGTGTGACATAAGCAATATTCATAATTAATTATAACTAGTTATGATTAATTATTCATATTTCCCATGAGCTGATTCGTTACACAATAATCCACAAGTAATCCACACCACTCCAGTCCATCATTTAATGTCTTGAGAAAACAAAAACTGCGTGTTTATAATAAACAAATCAAATCAAGAAATGTTTAACTTCCGACTAAAATACGACTCCATAATTCTTAATAATGCTTCCTCCAGTGAAAAAGTGCATCTTCTGTTGCCTCTCACATCAAAATCCAGCCACATATTTGTTTAGAGCTGTTTTTGCTTGTAAACGCTGCTTGATCTGTGCAGATTTCTCTCCTGATTCAGATCAGACTTTTTCACTGGAAGAAGCACTATTATGGATTATGGACTTTTTATTTAAGCCGGAAGTAATGGTTTGAAGTTAAAAACATCTTAATGATGGATTTATTTCTTACACAAATGCAGCTTTTGGCTTCACAAGATGTTAACTGATG